TCTCAGTTGCAACTTATCCAGTCTCACTCAAGTCATCAGTCCCCAAACTTCAGTTTCATCTCAAAGTGGTAGTTCACTATCCTTTGCGGATTCCATTGCTGCAACTATAACTGAATTTCACTATGATCCAGCATCTGGTCTCATCTTTGATTCGTGGTACAGCCGTTGGGAGGATACATTCTTGAATGAGTTCACCGGCAAAGATGATGCGTGGAAATCCCGTCTCTTGGTACGGAAACTTGGAACCCTCGAACACGACCGGTTCACCAACTTTATCCTTCCACAACACCCAAAAGATTTGACTTTTGCGCAGACGGTGGAACAACTTCGCGAAATTTTTGGTGACCAACATTCACTTTTTAGTGTCCGGTACAACTGTCTCAAGTTGGCCAAGCGTGAGGCCGACGATTACGTTACTTTTGCCGGTATCGTTAATCGTGAATGTGATAAATTCCAATTGCAATCGCTTACAGAAGATCAGTTCAAATGCCTCATTTTTGTCGCTGGACTTCAATCTTCTCAGGAATCAGATATTGGCATGCGATTGGTATCCAAACTTGAGCACGAAAAAGGTATTACTGTGAAAGACCTCACCACAGAATGCTAGCGCTTGCGCAATCTCAAACATGATACCGCAGTGGTACAGCAGAAGCCGCGATCGCCTATTTCCAGCAGCGTCATTACATTGAAGCGAACCGCTGTCACTCCTGGAAAAAAGCCACCAACATCATGTTGGTCATGTGGTGAATGGCATTATGCACGTTTTTATCCATTCAAGAAACATCAGTGCCAAGCATGCCATCGTTGGGGCCATAAAGAAATCTTTTGCCTTACCCACAATGCCAAATCACCATTAAACCCAAAGAATGATAACAGTCCGATGAAAGACTCAATCAAAAGGCGGACATACAAACAACGAATACAATCTATTTATCTGTTTGCTACGTTTCAAGTTGAATTTGAATCCCGCAGGAAATACATAACAGTTTCCATCAACAATTTCCCGATTCGTTTGCAGCTTGACACAGCTTCGGATATTACATTAATATCACGTTCAGTTTGGGAATCAATTGGGGAACCTGTTTTATCCTCCACGAACCATCGGGCCAAAAGCGCCTCTGGTAGCATTTTAAAACTAACAGGCAAGTTGTCTTGTGATGTGTTATTCAACAATGTGCACTTCTCAGGGACATGCTATCTCACCGATTGTCCGAAATTAAACATACTTGGACTCGATTGGATCGAGAAACTTGACCTTTTTAGTGTACCTTTATCATCTGTGTGCAGTACTCTGAAATTTTCATCCTCCTCAGGCATTGCAGAACACTTTACTAACACACTGAAGACAAAATTCAAGGATGTCTTCCAAAGTGGCCTTGGATGCTGTACCAAAACCAAGGTAAGCCTCAAACTCCAACCTGCTTCCACACCAATTTTCAGACCGAAGCTTCCCGTGCCATTTGCCACTCTCGCAACTGTGGAGAATGAACTTGTTCGTCTCCAGCAATCCGGAATTATCCAGCCAGTAAACCATTCATCATGGGCAGCTCCTATTGTTGTCATGAACAAAACAAATAGCAAGGTGCGCATATGTGCTGATTATTTC